ATTACCCTTTTAAAGGCTATGTGCAGTCGCATTCTGAGGTGCTGGGGTTAGAACTTCACCTTATGAAGTTGGGGTACAACATTCAGCCCGTGACACCGTCTGTGAACAGGTACCTCCGTGTTCATCAGCCTTCCTGTCAGTATGAATCTGTGCCCTTAGTAGTCACTTTATTTATTTGTCTCTCTGTCTATCTATCTGTCTATCTGAATTGGAGTCTCACTCTGCCGTCCAGGCTGGAGTGCAGTGGCACGCTCCCGGCCACCGCAGCCTCGAACTGCTGGGCTCCGGCGATCCTTCCACCTCAACCTTCCAAGTAGCTGGAACTACAGGTGCGTGCTACCACGCCCAGCTAGTTTTTTGATTTATTGTAGAGACGCGGTCTTACCAAGTTGTCCAGGCTGGTCTCGAACTCCTGAGCTCAGGCAATCCTCTTGCCTTGGTCCCCCAAAGTGCTTGGATTATAGGCCTGAGCCACCATGCCCGGCCTGGTAGTTACATTATTAATGCAAGCTTTTAAATTAACCAGTAGTAAGCCGGGCTCGGTGGCTCAGCCTGTAATCCCTCACCTTTGGGAGGCTGAGGTGAGTGGATTGCCTGAGCCTGCGGGTTCAAGACCCGCCTGGGCAGCGAGACCTCATCTCTACAATAAATCCAAAAATCAGCCAGGCATGGTAGCGCATGCCTGTAAATCCGGCTACTCGGAAGCCTGAGGCGGAAGGATCGCCAGAGCCCAGCAGGTCGAGGCTGCGGTGGCCAGGAGCAGCCACTGCACTCCAGTCTGGGCAACAGAGTGAGACTCCAACTCAAAAAATTAATTAATTAATTAATTAACCAGTCGTAATGCCCAGGGACTTTTTTTTCCTGGCCAAATTAGGATTATTAAAGATTGAGATTGAACTCTTTCTTAACAAGAATAATCACGTTACCTGGCTTTCTGCCTCTCAGTTTTATGTTTGCTAGAGGAGACTTAATCCAGTATAGCTGAGTAATCCACTTGGCTGTCCTGTGGATGAATGATGCCAGTGTTTTCCAAGCAAGCAAGTCAAGTATGCTTGCAGGATTTTGCTGTTTCCTTTCAAGTACTATCTGGCTAGTGTTTAATATTTTCCTTCAGTCAACTGACTTTTTTTTTTTGAGTCAGAGTCTCACTCTGTCGCCCAGACTGGAGTGCAATGGCACGCTCCCGGCCACTGCAGCCTCGACCTGCTGGGCTCCGGCAGTCCTTCCGTCTCAACCTTCCAAGTAGCTGGAACTACAGGCGTGTGCTACCACGCCCAGCTAATTTTTGATTTAT